ATGATTATTAGGTAGGTCGGATTTACCACTCTAAGAAGAAGCCCAGCGTGTGAGTTCATTTGTTATTCATTTGCTCATTTCATATCTCCTGTAGCAGCTTCAACTCAAATATAACGGACTGGAACAATTACACTCCTGCCCTTCAACTATATCACAGCTTTGCCTTCCTAGGGAAGCCTTCCACTCATTTGCCCAATTTATTCAACCCGGTATTCTCTCTCTGAGTTACAGGATAGCTCCCATCTGCTAGCAATGTCAAAAGCAGATCAGGGGAGGCATCACAGAAAGGCCACATTGGACCCAGCCTTCGAGAGATTGACAGATATTTACGGGCAGAGATGGAAGAAACGGGAATTTCAGAAAGCAGCAACAGCAAAATCAAAAGCTAAACAGAGCTTCTCAAATTTGCGTACATACTAGAATAATGCTGGGGAATGGTTAGTAACAAATCCAAGACAGTAGTAACCTCTGCAATAGGGACAAGGTAATGTGATCAGGCTACGAAGGCGGCTTGAACTGCATTGGCAATATTCTACGTAGTATTTCTTGCCCTAAGTGGAGAGTATGTGTGAAATAGTTTATAATATATTTTCAAAAATATATGAGCCTGAGAGACTGTATAAAATGTACTTTAGCAGGACTCGGTTCAGTCAGGTTCAGTCAGCAGGACTCGATTCAGGAATCTGCATTAACACCCCAGCTAATGCTTTTGCAAATGGTTCATGCACCTCTCTAAAAAACACTGTGATAGCATTTCTTTCCCAAAGGAACAAAGAAAAATCGAGAGCGCCAGTGAGTGCCTAAAGTACACGACTAGGAGTCAGAATCCCTGGATCAAATTCTCAGCTCTGCTCCAATTTGCTACATGAGTCTAGACTAGTAAGGTTAACTTCTTTCAATACTAGTTCCCTTTCCCCAACCAGAAAATCACCTTTACAATCCTTGGTCAGCACAGGAAGGATAAATGAAATGATGTCTGGTGAAACTCTGGGGGACTTTGCTGGAAATGCACACAGATAAGACAACGGTTGTTGAGAATCATAGCACCCTTCCTGGAATCAAGTTCTTGGTGATCTGTCTCTTATGGCAACTTTAATTCAACTTGACCCACGTAGCATGAGGACCTTACATGGTGAAAATCACTAGTGCCTGTCTGGGTATGTTGAATTCCGTCCCCTTAATGACAACAACAAAAACCGCCAAATGTTCAGGGGAGTGGTTCTCCTTGGGCTGCAGAGAGGGAACACACAAGCACATCAGCGTCCCTCGGGAGATTTTCCTATACTTGCTGCCTTACACCTGTCACTGTGTGTTATCAGAATGAACAGGAGACTAGAGAGTTGGGGAGCTCACAGTTTTTAAGCACCCCAGGTGATGCTGATACATTCCCTACTCTAGGAAGATTCTTGGCCTCCCTCAAGTAACCTGATCCAAGATCTTACACTTTTTTCCTGCCAAGAAGTTCCTCATATTTATTTCTCACCTGTTGGCTCTTTGTTCAGCTCTCACTGAAGATCGAGGATAATTCACCAGCATCTTGCATATGTATTCACAAGGGAATGTGAATAATGACCATGAGCCAGCTGGTTGGAAACCTCAGCATCCCCAGCGTTGAAATAATCTCTTGGCCAGATGTTTCCTTCAGTGATTGGAGCAAGGCACGAGGGCCCCAATGGAAGGCTCTCTGGACCCTAGGCTTGTCCAGCTGGATCAGCTGCAGGTGGAGCAAATGGGACCCCAGGGCCCCATCAGGTCACCTTGTTGAGTATGAGTCAGGCCAGCAGCTCTTTATTTCTTCCTGTCTCTCCCACTTCCCACCACTCATCTCTATGGGCAGCCGCCAGCCTGGGGAACAAGAGGCAGGCAGGGGGAGGGGATAGATCTTAATGGATACTCCATCTTTTCAGTGGTTTGGGGTCTGGCAGAGAGAAACCAGACCTGAAACAAATTGGCTCCTCCCCTGATGTATTTCAGTTAATGCACTAGCTGCCGAGAAGCAGCCAGGCCTGGAGCAACAAAATCAATTCCCCTGCTGAACAACAGGCCTGAACTTAACCCCCACAGCTCTTTCTTTTGTCTCTTTTATTCATGGAGCTCAAAATGTTGCCCTGCCTTGGATTCTTGCCATTGGCAAAGCCCTTGGTGGAGTGTCAGACCAAAGAGGCTTAGGCAATAATGGTCACGCACCTGAGGGGCTTCTAGAGAACATCCTACATCCAAGCATTCTTCACCATTCTTTCACAGCTGAAACAATCTTGACAGCCACAGTCTCTAAAAAGGAGGTAGGAATGGCCCTTAGTTGGCTGGTGTTATAGATGGGGAAGCTGTGAAGGTCCAGTAATCTGTGCCCATATCACTCCCCTGCCCAGGGATAAACCTGGTAGCAAACTCCAGGTCCTAACTCTTTCTTGGACTACCGAAAAATAGTACTTTATTCTTGAACTTTAACTACTTCCATCTAGAGGTAAATACTGTGGCCATATTCTATGAGCAAGGATCAAGAGGAATACAGAATGACAGAATCATATGAGACTAACCTGGTAGTCACATGAAGACTTCCTGTATTGTCCCACTTAGCCCTGGACTTCCAAATCTCTATGACCTTCCCCCATTCTCCCTCTACAACTTCCTTTGAGTCTCTAGACTTAGTAGGTGAGATCAACTAAAATGTATCATATGGAAAACTATGAGGGTTTTGCAAAAGTCTTAGTCTAGCCTCAAAGAAGAAGCAAGCTAAAGTAAGAACCATTATTCATGCTTGGAATCTGATGGAGGCAGTTGCTAGTGGCCTTTTGATTCCTGCCAGTTAGATCCTCCTTACTCTCTGCTGGAAACTCTTAGAAATGCAAGTGAGGGTAAGTTGTAATGGAAAGGAAGCTCTGCATGAAAGCATGGAAGTAAAAGATTGAACAAAACCAACTCTCACATGTTCAACTTACCCCTCCATCCCCTAGGTATCACCTTAACCATGCATGCATTCTTTCTACAAGTTACTGCATCTGCTCAGTGCCAGGCACCGAGCTGGGCTGGTCTAAGAGATATAAATATGAATTGCACAGACCATCCCTCTCTCTTACCAGCCAAGGGTGACTTCCTGAAATAATGTGTTCCTGGATGTGCTGAGTTAACTACAGCATAGTAAAAGTTGAGTCTAAGTAAGACTCATTTCTGATACTCACAGAGCTCCCAAAGACAGATAACATCATAGGCTTACCGTGTTTCTCCCAAAATAAGACCTACCCAAAAGATAAGCCCTAGCAGGATTTCTATGCATTTGTTAAATATAAGCCCTACCCTGATAATAAGACCTACTGATGGGTGTGGCTATGCAGCATGCATTTTGGCACAGAGAAGAAGACATCTCCTGAAAATAAGCCCTAGTGGGTCGTCTTGAGAAAAAGTAAATATAAGACAATGTCTTATTTTGGGGGAAACACGGTAGATCAGTCTTAGCATCTGGTTTGGTACTATGGCTTTTAAATGGAAAAAAGAAACTAACCTAATTCCACTTTCCAATGTGGCCAGAAAACCAGTGGCTAAAGAGTGGGAAAATTCAGAGATGAGGAAAACCAGAATAGCAATTCAGATGTAAAACATTTACAAGGATCCCGAGAAAAGAGAGAACCAGGAAGCCTTACCTTAACTGCCACTGCAAAAAGAATCAGATGCTTTTCATAAGCAGGCCAGAAAACCATAATACCCCAGCCCAGAATTTCTCAAACTTGACACAGTTGACATTTGGGGTCACTCTGGATACTCCTTTAAGTTGTGACGGGCCTGTCATCTTCTTGTGCCATGTAAGGTATTTCGCATCACCCCTCATTTTACCCGCTGGATGTTAGTTGCACCCTCCCCAAGTTGTGATCATTGAAAATGTCTCTAGGAAGGGGTGAAAGTGGCCCCGGTTGAGAACCGCTGCTTTAGCTCAGTCACTACCATCTCAGCACAAAGCCTCCTGAATGCAGTCGCTGGAGAGAAAGAGGACAATTGGGGCTATATTTCCAGGGAAAACATTCGAAAGACATAAGGCACAAGAGGGGTCATTTCATTTACCCATGATGGCCACGGAAGAGCTTGGTGAGAGAACCAGAAGTGGAATCCAAGTTTCCTGGCTCTAGTCACCCCCACCGTGCTGCTAATGGAGACGCTAATGATAGTGAATGGGATAAGGCTTCTCTAACTCTGTAACAAAACTTCAGCAGTAGGTTCTCCTTTTTTTAGTGTTCCATCCAGGTTTTGCAAACGAGCTCAAATGTTCATGCACATAATTGCCTGTCTTTCTAAACTTGTCTTTTTTTCCTGTTCAGACAGTTCAAATTAATGTGCTTTTATGGCCTTCCTGCTGTCTGCTCTTTTTGCATTTTGTTCTCTCCTAGTGCATCCACACACTGCCAGCCGCCCAGGTTCCCTGCACTAAAATTAGGGGGAGCTTGAACGATAAATAAGGTGAAGCAGGGTAGGGTGAGGTGGGGTCATAAGAAATCTGGGCAGACTGTTAAGCTCTGCTATGCAGGGCTAGCCTCGGATAAGCTGTCACCTACAGTTTGGTACCTAGCATATCATTCGTAAAGATGTCTTTCTTGGGTAAGAACTGTTAGTAATTTGTACTTGTGTGTATGTGTTTATCAGATCACTGTTCTCTGAGATAACTCTCAGAGAGCAGGGCTCTTCCAGATGAAGTTTGTATTGGAGCAGTAATACTAGGGTATATGTCACTACCCCTGCAAGGCAGACGTGGATGATATTCTTAAATGGGTGTCCTGCAGGCTGAGGTGACCAAAATAAAGCTAAGCAACAGATATCAACTCTGCCTAATAGCCAAGGTTGCTGTGAATAGAACCCTGATATAGATTGCACTGGGGGAAATCCTAGACCAGATATTTTGAAAGAGACCCGTTTCATAACCTCAAAGTTGGGTAAAGTTCATCGCAGTGAAAACAGGTTTCCAATAGGGCTACATTCCCAATCTCCTCTACCAAATCTCAGAAACACAGTCTTACCTCCCACAAACTGCGCTGCTCCCATGCAACGTCCCATCATTCTGGAGATAAGCTCCTCCATGCAGCAGCCTAGGACAGCAGCCAGTGCCACCAGGAGCAGCAGAGCACAGCCAGCACCTGTCACCACCGTGCACATTTGCCAGGCCAGGCTCGGGATAGCACTGAAGCTGGCATAACGCCCGCACTCCTCCACCATGATCAGACTGTGTCCCTCTCCCCGCACAGGGTAGTTGCACCTCCGGAATGTGCTGAATGACACCGGCTTCCCCAGTTGTGATCCAAAGAGCCAGTAAGGTAGGAAGTAACTAGTAGAACTGGCCACAGCAGTAACAAGAGAGAGGAAGGCCCAGAGGGTGCCCACCACGGTCAGGCTGCTCCTCATGGTCTCAGGTTTCTCTGTAGGGATGGGGAGATGAGTTGGGTCACAGCACCAAATGCAGAAAGTTACCATGTAGGCTCCACCAGCCTATTTTTCATCCGGCTGGCCAATCCTGAGGCTCAAATATGGGCCACTTAGTCTTTGCTTCTGGGTAACATTATTCTCTCAAGGATCATTTGCATCCCTGTGGGATTCTGCTGTCCGGTAAGTTTCCCATCTTCCCTTCCTTCTTGATTCAGAATTCTATGGTCGCTAGGCTGCAATGGAGGAACCAGAGAATTGAATTAGTTAGTAACTGCTCTGCCAACTCCAATACAGCCTGATCAGAGAGCTTTTAACTCTGACATACAGCATGGAACAAGTGACAGGAAGGGAGCCAGAATGAAAATAAGGCTGTCCCCCAGACTCTCAGCCAATGGCCTTGCTGGCCTGGAGGCCTGGAAGGAGGTAATATCTGAAGAGGGTCAGGAAGAAAGTTGTTTTCTGAGAATGGAGAAGGAAGGAAGACAACCTACAGGGCCTTCCCCTCCTATAAAGGGCTAAGAGGGAATGGGAGCTCATCCTGTAATGACGGAGTTACGGGATGGGGTGTTAGTTTCCAATTGACTTTGGTAGGATGTCCAGCAGTGTGTTTGAGGCTTTTCCACTGGGATACATCAGCTAAGTTGAAGGGGGTAAAATAAAATAAGAGGCGCCTACTCTCACCCCCTATACCCGTCACTGAAAGAGTACTCATCATTCTCTTTTCCCACACTAAAAATGGGTGGCAACTGTCTAACCATTAGGAGTTAACTCTGGACTGGCCACTAAGAAAACTCCCTCGTCCTTTGCTGGATACAGTCAAGAAAGCTTTGCATCTCTCTGAAACAGATCAGGATCAGGTACTCTCTGCAGTCGTATGTTTCTGCTGCAAGGACTTGTCCGGGTCCCTTTGGGAACAAGTTATCTCAGATTGAAGATGCTGAGAGTCTTTCCAACTCTAATCTCTTCCCGGCAGTTCACAAACGGCTTTCACAGACCCCTCTGTCAAAAATCAACAGCTTCCCTCCCAACTCCATTAATCTGCCATTGTCTTTTGGCCTGTTTCTCTACTGGGGCGGCTAGAGACCACACTGCCGCTTGATGACAGCACCGTGAATGTCTCCAGTAGGCAGATGGTTGCAGTATGTTTTAGAAATTTCTCCATGATTCATCACCATGGCTTCAAGTTATAGGTGGTGGCGTGGGGGAGGGGAAGAGCAGTGGGGGGGAGGGCTTGAAGTAGAGGAAGTTCAAGAACTAATTATATGGGGCTGCCACGTTGCCAATCTGGGACACGGACAGGAGCAAGTATTAGCTGTAGTGGAGGGTCTTAGGGTCTCAGCCATAAGCCCTTTCAGAACTGTCACAAACAGTGCCTGGCACAGAGTAGACACTCCAATCAAGTTTGGTAAATGAAATCCCTTTCACAGATTCATCCAATTTCCAGACTGGCAGGGACCTTAATGAATCACCTAATCCAATCCTCTTGTTTTACTTATGGGGGAATTTGGCCAGGAAAGGGGGAAGCGATTTTCCCCAAGTCACAGTGAAAGTTAGCAAGGGCCAACGCAGGGACCAGAAACCTGATCTGCAGATTCCAAGGCCAGCACTTTCTACCACACAACGTTAACTCCCTCCCCCATCGCTTCACAGATGAGAATATGGAGAGGAAGTGATTTACCCAAGGGTAAAAGGCTGGCGAGGTACACTGGCCAGACCAGAGCCCAGTTATTTGACTCTTTCTAAAATGCTTTTTTTTTTTCTTAACTCCACCGCAATTCCCCTCTTGATACATATGGATTTTGTGCTGTGTGTTTTGTGCAGGAAGGGAGCAGAGATCGTAAATTGCAGGTGCTTACTTTGGAATGTTAGGGCTTGGGAAGAAAGTGCCCTGAGCTGGGCCCCGGGGAATGAGGCTTTGTGCCTGAGAAGGAGGGGAATGAGCGAAAGACGTGATGAGCGATTGAAGGCCAACAGGGGGAGAAGTGGAATTCGGTTTAAGTAATTGCTGCTAGAAAGCAGGTATGCTTGGCCAGGATGAGGTAATGCCTCTGCTGGTTATATTAGAGTTTGTAAGATTACAAAAAGTGCAAGCAGCCCTTGGTTATGGCCTCATCTCCGGATGAAGAAACCCAGGCCAGAGGAGGAGAGGAAACAATCTGATAAACAGCTGCTGGCTGCATCATCATAATCACTTCCAAATTGGTTATCTCTTATGCTCTGCCCAGCAATCTTCTTTGGTAGGTAAGGAAAGTATTATCCCCAAGTTATGAGTGAGCAAATTGAGTCTCACAAAGCCTCGCGGCTTGCCCAAGGGTACGCAGTGATCCCATGGCAAAGCCATCACTTCCCACTTCTTCACCGGTATTACCCCAATGGTATTACAACTACAAGCCTCTATGGTTCCCACACAGACTTTCAAAAAACTGTTTAATGATGAGAACGTAACTCCATGGAAGACAGGGAAGTAGGAGGAAGGCCGATTTCTCCAGACATAGTGCATAAGCCATCAGAACAAGAGCATCAGCTGTTTTCAACTCAGCACTCATAGTAGAAGGAACCATGCATTTGCCCCATGGAAATAATCATCACCTTGAGATCAAAAATCACAGTATGGGTGGGAGGCTAAGGAGGGAGTTTTGCTTAAGGTAAGGAGTTCTTCTAGACCAGTCTGAGCAAGAGCTAGACTCTACTAAAAATAGAAAAATTAGCTGAACCCAGTAGTGCGCTCCTATAGTCCCAAGCACTTGGGAGGCTGAGGCAGGAGGATTGCTTGAGTCCAGGAGTTTGAGGTTGCTGTGAGCTAGGGTGCCATGGCACTCTATCCAGGGTGACAGAGTGAGACTGTCTCGAAAAAACAAAGTCACAATATGACAACCAGTAGGAGGGACAGAGAACTTTGAAACATAGGAAGAGACTATATCAGTAGTTGGTGCCTTAGACCACAGTAGAAATAAGAGGAATTCTAACATAAGGTTGTCCTCATCTGTGACAAATAAAGCTATTAAATAAACTATAATACTACTAATCACTGTCAGTATGATTCCATTTTTCATTTTAAAAGTGACATTTTGAAGCCACAATATAGGGAAGACAGATTCTCAAAATTCAGTTGAAACTAAGTGCATTTAGCTTTCGAATTTCAATGAAGTACTTTCAACTTTAGAAAAAGTTCACCATCTTAATTTCCTTTAGGACTAGCGTATACCAACCATGCCAGTTTTCCTGGAACCCAGGGGTTTCCTGGGATGTGAAACGTTTGGTGGCAAAACCAAGAAAGTCCCAAACAATCTTGGCTGAAGTGGTCACCATATTCAGGACTAGAGATATTGTGAGCGAGTGTTATCCATGGACAGCGGGTCAAAAATTCAGATCATTCTCTAATATTTTCTCCAGGACACACATAATATGAAATTAAAAGTGATCATGGGATTAAGTATTGGAGAATGCAGCACTTGGAATATAAACCTTTCTAAATCATAGACTTAACTTCACGCAGTCAAGGAAGAGATCTCAAAGATCCACTTGCTCAAAAGTTTCTGAAACACAAAATGAGTCTCAGCCCACCTTCTCCCACGGCTGGAGAAAGAGGTAGCAGGGTATGTGGGGTGCACACACGCTGCTTCATGTTCCTGTGTGCCGGACAGGCCCCTGGATCCTAGGAAATGCTTTTAGTTCCATTGTCTACGATGGTATCCTCTCCCTCATGGCAGCCCTCCAAAGCTATCCAAGTTCACTCCCAGAGACTGGCTAAGTGACTTTTTGTATTCACAGAAATATAACTCACACACAATACTATACTTCACTCGATCTTAATTCCTCTTGTATGTTTCAGGTATACAACAGCTTTGTTTTCCTGCTTTGGAATGGCCAGCTACAGAACCACACTGGACTTCAGGATCCCAAAACTCAACCTGGTGCCCCTGCTGAGTGATTCAGTAACCAGGCATTGATAGCATTGTAGTTGACGTACTCTATCGGTGCCATATTGCCCCTCATGCCTTAGTTTCTGTATCTGCTAGATGGATACTTTTTTCTATTTTTCTAGTTTTTCTATTTTCTATTCAGCTAATTTTTCTATTTTTTTTTTTTTTTTGAGACAGAGCCTCAAGCTATCCCCCTGGGCAGAGTGCTGTGACACCACAGCTCACAGCAACCTCCAACTCCTGGGCTCAAGCGAGGCTCCTGCCTCAGCCTCCCAAGTAGCGGGGCCCACAGGCGCCCGCCACAATGCCTGGCTATTTTTTAGTTGTAGCCGTCATTGTTGTTTGGCGGCCCGGGCTGGATTCGAACCTGCCACCTTAGGTGTATGTGGCTGGCGCCTTAGCCACTTCAGCCACAGGTGCCGAGCCTAACTTTTCTATTTTTAGTAGAGCTGAGTCTAGCTCTTGCTCAGACTGGTCTCCTTACCTCAAGCAATCCTCCCTCCTTAAATCCTACTCTGCCCTGCCCTGCCCTGTCCTTCGCAAGATACTATTCAACCCTATCACATGTCTATTTCTGAGAGTGGCTGTTGAAATATATTCAATGTAGCCAAAAAGTTGTAAGAGCTGGGGGACGCGTGAGGTCTGTTCTGAATTTTCTGTCCTTACTAAAGCCTGTTTGCCAATCTTTAGAGATATACTGGTCATCCTAGCTCAGCCTCATGAGCAGAGGTCACCTTAACATACACAGGAACCCCATACAACACAGGAACCCCACCTAACCCATATATGGGAAATGCTTATCTCTAGTATTTTTAAGGAACTCTGGGGAAGGGAAGTCTACAACTTTTTCGCAGTAGCTTAACAACTCTCATCATCAACACATCATTTATGCTATGCCTTTATAAACTTGCTCTGCTGCAACCAGGGGGGCCAATTCCTTTTGTTGAGTCCTCAGAAGAATCGGAGAATAGCTGGCCATCGTCCAGATGAGAGCCCTGGTAGGAGATTTTTAGCCTCCACCGCCCTCATTGCCAAGCCTTTAATCTTTTGATTTAACTTTTCCTCTGCTCACATGTGGGCACTTACAATGAAGTGTCAATGAAACTGGAAGCCTTGCTCTTATGTTTTTCTTGGTGGAGAAAAACAAATCAATTCTTCCTCTATCACCTCCTCCCGCGTTCCCACAGAAAAAGACACAAATCCTTTGGTTCCCCACTTGAGTTTGTCGTGCAACTTCTGAGGGAAAGAAAGTGCCACCTGAGCAAAGGTAACAGGGTCCAGGCAAAACGAGTTAAAGACCACCGTGGAAGTGGTCATGAAGGGAGTCAGTGACTTGCAGCTGCTTAAGGAAATGTGGCTGCAAGACTGCTGGCGCAGGGCTGGTCTGTGAAGAGCGGCTTTCTTGGCACTGACGTTGGCAAAGGAATGTGAACGGTTCTTTCTCCTCACGCCCCCGGTGTGCGTTGCCTTCTTGCCAATCCTGTTACAAATACATCTTACTCAGTGTTTGGACTTCCCTAGGAAATGAGTGAGACGTGCAGACATATGTTTCCAATGGGTAAAGTCCTGCTCCAGGGAAATGCCTGGAGTCAATATAATCCCTCGTATTACCTGGGGGTACATCAGCAGTCTAACCACTCTAGATCTTTCTGCCTCAGACACGACCTAAAAAGGAAAGCTACTACCCCGTACATTTCCCTCCTCATTTTCTGCCACTATGTCCCTCGGAGGTTTCCTCTCCTCTAGATCTCTCCATCATGAAAGTTGCTCTACGTCCTCCTGTGCCTGACATCGTCTCACCCTGTAGTTGCTCAAAGGCTTTTATTTTCCATTCGTATCTCGATGACTCTAGGAAGACCTCCTTTTTTCCATAAGTCTTTTCCTTGAAATTCCTCAGCCATCATGTTTGCCGAACCTCTTTCTAGGCCTTCTCCCTCCTTCCCTCCTCTTTTACTCTGGGGGAGAAACGCTAGCAAAAACCTCCGTGTTGGATGATATTATGTGCTTCTCTGCAGGTAAGTCATTCAGAGGCAGGAAAACAGAGACCAAGTGGAGGGAGAGGACCAACCAAGCCATTGATACCCTAGCAGGGGTCCTCAAATTTTTAAACAGGGGGCCAGTTCACTGTCCCTCAGACCATTGGAGGGCCGGACTGCAGGCCCTGGGACGAGTCCGCTGCTAAGCGGGACAGGCAGTGGCGGCAAAAACACCCGCGGGACAGGTAAATGTCCTAGGTGGGCCGCCTGTGGCCCACAGGCCATAGTTTGAGGACGCCTGCTCTTAGGCTTTGGGAAATGGGGTGCAAATGAGAGATTTCCATTCCAGTCCTTACTCTGGCCAGACAGGTGCCACCACCTTCAATAATTGATTAGTTGGCTAGAAGTCTTATCGCATACCCCCAGCTGGTTAGAAACTACTCCGACCAGCTGCCCTGCACAAGATACTGTTAAACTCTATCAACAATGGACTAACTGGCAAAGCAGCCCTCACATCCCTAGTTTCATAGCGCCAGCCCTGCTCTTGTTGCCCAGTAGGCTCCGTAGCCTACGGTCTCAGTAGGGAATAAATGTCACCACAGCTGACAATCCCACTGAGTGAATCTGGCCATCGTGGGAAGATGGAGGGCTAAAGGTTTCTCTAAAAACTTCAGAGAAGGTGGGAGGCAGCAGGGCCTATCAAGCGTGTTTCTGGAAGTAGGGGCTGGAAACCCTCTGCCATCAGAATCACCTTCAAAGGTCTTTCAATCTCCCGGGTTCACTGAATTCAAATTTATGGTAATTTACATTTTTAAAAAATCGTCCATTACTTCTGCTGGGAACTAATGACTCAGGCATACTGCTTTAGTGGAATAGAGTTAAGATTTTGAAATCATATGTTAGAGTCCTGAGCTGTGCCCCTTCTAGGCTACGTGAACTTGAGGTGATTACTTAAAACTTCTGAGTTTCTGGTTCACTTATAAAATGAAGATGGTGGAGCATAAAGTTCAAAATACATAACATCTGGGGTATATTGAACACTAGCGTGGATATCAAGTCCCCTCTTCCCTACCGGAGAAGAACCAATTCTTTTGTAAGTCCTAGAGAAGACCTGAAGTCACCCAATAGCAGAACATCACTCCTTTCTCTCCCCACACCCCCTCTAGAGGTGATTTCTCCTTACCCCTAGGCTCCCTTCTGCTTTCAGTCTCCCCCAACAAAATGAAACCACTTGGCTGAGTGTTCTTTGCAAGAATAGATGTACAGTTAAACTATGTCAGGTCCTTCTGGAAACCATCATGCTTTGGCACATAGTAGGAACTCATAAATATTTACTGAATGGGTGCAATCTTTTATTTCCAGCCCGACTGGCCTCAACATCTGCATTTCCATTTAACTTCGTCCCTCCATTTTAGTCCTGTAACCCCAATTGAGGCATGCCTGGGAGATCAACCTCTCCCATCAGCAAACCGGATCCATTTCTACTTGTATAGACAGGTCAGAACAAACTCCCTCCCTCCACTCCCAGAGACAGGCACTTCCTCTCCTCAGATGACTGGTTCTTCTGGGAAAACCAACTAGCGCTTAATCCTTAGGCGCTCCAACCTTGTCAATGTAAAATAGGAACCCAGCCCTGATTCCTCTTAGCCTCGGTGCAAACATCAGACTGCGAGGAAGTAAAAATGCACCAGGCTGCCCTTGGGAAGCAAACAGCTTCTCTGAGCTCTGAGATGAAAGGGCAGGAAGCCTGAAAAGGGAAGGGGAGAAGGGGGCTGAGCAACGGGGGAGCAAAGCAGTTTCTTAAGCAGCTGTTTCAATTGCATTTGGCCCAAGTTGCATATTTACCTTCTGACCACGGGAAGCTGACTGACTTGTTCCCTCTCTTCAGGCTCAGATCTGAGAAACAACTTCTCCTTAGAGCTTGTCAGATGGGGGTGGGAATCCCAGCTGCTCTTTGCAGTGATGCCTGAAAATCTTGCTTTACCTTTGGGAGAGAGGGGCGGAGTCCGACCTAATGGGAATTAACTCCAAACACGCTGGTGGCTTCAAACTCAGCCACAGACATGCAGGCACTTGAAGTCGAAACTAGGTTAGTGGGCACGCAGTCCCCCACCTCCAACCTCACAGCTGACTAGTCAGCACTCTGTGTGTGTGTGTGTGCGGGCACACAGGCTCTTGAATTGTGAATCTATCTCATTTCCTCGCCTGCTTTCCAAATGCCTGCTGAGGACCAGAGATTCTCCTTAACTGTTCTTCAAAGCCCTAAAGAATCTCTACCCTGTATGTAGTAGGGATCAGACCTCTATGGCTGGGGACTTCTGAGAGAACACGGGCCTGGATGGAGTAAGACAGAACAACCTCCTTTCTCCAAACTGACTTCCACTGTCCGGTGGGAAGGAACCTGCAGCTGAGCAATCTTTGGCTCAAGATGTAACCAGCTTACGTTTGAGAAAATGTTGAAATCACACATTGAAAGGGACAAGGCACACTTTTTTTTTTTTTTATAATAACAAAAGTCAATGCCTACTAATGTATCCCAGAGTCCCACTAACTGCTTTTCTGCTTGGCAATGAGCTAAGAGGTCTGGGGATGAATGGAGCTTTGCCTGAGTCTCTGCTCCAACCTGATGTCATCTTTCCCACCTATGTCCCTGGAATGCCATATTTATTTTGGGAAACCTATCACCCGTGTATTAGTTCTTTTTTGCCTATGTGTCTCATTTCCCCTTCTAGGTGCCTTGTGAACAGGGAACCTTGCTGAACAAATCAAAATGAGTTGGAAGGAGGAATGGTAAGTAGCTTAACTTAACTGAGTGCTGGGCTGATCCAAAGTATCTGTGCTGCTGTAATGGCCTGATTGCCTTTCCAGAGCTATAAAGGATATTAGGTCTTTGTTTTGGCACTTGTGGCAGTCATTCAAAATATGAAAGTAAATTAACACATTAATTGTACCTGGATTCTTTTTCCTTATAATACTCTATTTTTATTTCAGATTGATCTGAGGGTACAAATGAGTATGTCACGTTGTGTACATGTCTTGGGTATAGTTCAAGTTGTGCCTGAGACCTCCACCCAGGGGGATGCGCTCTATACCCTCATATCGTGCCCATCAAATGAAAGCTTACAATTTCCCCCTCCCTCCTCCCGTTTCTTCTTTCTGCCCTCCCCCAACTCGAGTTTAATTGTGTTTTTCTTTCCTGTGGACATGTAGTTGTTTCCCTGTTGGTTTCATATTAGCATTGAGCACATTGGATGCTTTTTCTTTCTTTTCTTTTTTTTTGATTTTTGATTTCACATTAATGTGAGGGTGCAAACAACTAGGTTATAATATTTGCAATTGTTAGGGAGAGTCTCTGTTTGCTTTTCCATTCTTGTGACACTTTCCTAAGAGGAATGTGTTTCAACTCCATCCGGGTCAATACAAAAGATGTAAAGCTTTCATCTTTTACGGCAGAATAATATTCTACGATGTACATATACAACAGTTTATCAATCCATTCATATTCATGTGTTGATGGGCATTTGGGTTGATCCTACATTTTGGCAATTGTGAAGTGAGCTGCGATAAACATTCTAGTGCAAACGTCCTTATGGTAAAATGATTTTTTTTTTTTCTTCTGAGTAGATACCTAGTAATGGGATTGTGGAATTAAATGGAAGGTCTACTTTTTGCTCTTTGAGGATTCTCCATACTTCTTTTTCATGGAGGCTGTATTAGTTTGCAATCGCACTAGCAGTGTAAAACGATTTCCCTCTTGGCACATCTGTGCCAGCATCTGCAGCTTTGGGACTTTCTGATGTGGGCTACTCTCACTGGGGTTAGGTGATATGTCAGGGTGGTTTTGATTTGTATTTCTCTGATGATCAGGGACAATGAGCATGTTTTCCGTGTTTGTTGGCCATTCATCTGTCTTCATCAGAGAAGATTCTATTCAACTCTCTTGCCCACTTATAAATGGGATTGTTTGCTTTTTTCTCGTTGATTAGCTTTTCTCTGTAGATTCTAGTTATCAGCACTTTGTCAGCATAGAAATAGCTTCTCCCATTCTGAAGGCTGTCTGTTTGCTCGAATTGTTGTACTTTTAGCTGCTCAGAAGCTTTTGCGTTTGATCACAGCCCATTTACTTATTTTTGGTGTTGCTGCAATTGCCAAGAAAATCTTCATAAAATCCTTTCCCAGGCCCATATTGTCAAGAGTTTTCCCCACACTTTCTTCTAGAATTTTTATCATTTCGTGTCTTAAAGTTCTCTGATTGTTTAATAAAGTCAGTGAAGTTTTCCTTCCCTTCTGTGAACACAAGTGTGTGTCCTGTTCTCTACCAGGGGCATAGCCTTATACTCACGCACCTGTTCGCCTACCTATTTTCCCTCAGGGCTCATGCATAACATTTCCATCTGTAATCACAGCTTACCGACGATGTTCCTGGAGTGAAGGAAAGATGACCCTTTAGGTGAAATGATAGATTTTTTGTAGCCTAAACTCCCCAAATAATTTTTATAATCTCCCACTTGTTACCCCCATAAGAATCACTGATTCCGATATAGAACTGTATTAAAAAAAAAAAAAAGGCTGGACCCTCCTTCACTAAAAATAAGTCAATATTAACAGATGCATAGTAGCTGTGTGTGAGATATGGCTGAAAATTTTGACATTTGAAAATAGCTGATTCCACTCTATGCCCCAGCAAATAGTGCCCTGGGCTCAGTGACTACACCTATCATGTGGGGAACCGATCACTATTTAAAATTTGAGCGTATTTTTGCTTTCTTCTTTTTATTTTCTTTTTCCTATGCCTCTAATTCCCTAAAGTGGAATAATATGGACACTAACATGTATACTAAATAATAATCTAATTTATTGGGCAAAGTTTTCCTTTTTTTTTGGCTGGGCCCCGATTTGAACCCCCCCACCTCTGGTATATGGGGTCAGTGCCCTACTCCTTGAGCCACAGACACCGCCCAGTTATTTTCTTTTCTTTCTTTCTTTCTTTCTTTTTTTTTTTTTTTTGAGATAGAGCCTCAAGCTGTCACCATGGGTAAAGTGCTGTGGCATCATAGCTTACAGCAACTT